ACAGTTTTCACCTGAATTTGCTGTAAGTCATGCAAGTTTTACTAAAGAAGGACATTACATTGTACAAAACCAGAACTTCTAATTAAAAGCTTAACATTCAGCACTTCATAGCTTTACAGACGGGCCCCTTCCTTAGTGGTGTTTTCAAGAGATCAAGTGAATGGCCTCCCACTCAAAGAGTGGACCACTTAACTTATGGTCCTTATGGAATTGGCCCTGCCAAAATGCTAATGACACGGGTGGGGTTTAAAGCTTCAGTGTGACTGAAGCATGCTTTGATTCCATTTCGGGATTGCTATATACCGTTCCATTTCCATTATGTTTCTATGGTACTTTGTCCTCAAAACTACACTACTTCAGAAAAAGTAAAGTGGTAGTTTTATGCACAAAAAGCTCAGTTTTACATCTGTTGCTTTATGAAATTTGTCTGAGAAATTCATATCACAATGCACAAGTTGCATTTTCAGTGTTATTGCAAACTTTACATAAGTGTTCTCTTTTAGGTCAACTACTTTTATGGCAGAGCAACAGTTTCAAAAGTAACTAACCGAGTTAAAATGTTTACCTGAATAACCTAAATACTGATTTAATGGCATTTGAAGCTAACTCGGTTGAATAATTGTTATTGTGACAGTAATGGAAGAATTCACATGAAGCATGAGGAACAAAACTGCACGCCCTCATGTCTGCATTTGTGTAGAGTACGTTTCCGCCCTGTGAAGTTGCAAATATTCTGTTGGTTAAACTGGGAATTCTTAGACACTGTAATTCATGTATCTCACACATTGGAGTTTAAAAGCAAGTCCTAGTAAATTCCTATTAATTTTATCCATAGAGAAATTAAATTTTTCAAAATAACACTTAAACCTTTTGAGCTAGACCTACTATGAACTCCATTGTTACCTCGATTTTACCTGTGATTAGTGATTTTTTTACTGTTTTTTTTCATCAAATAAATGCAGACTTGGTGAGCATAAGTTACTTAAAAACAAAAATTATTTTAGAAAATCTTACCAATCTCAAACTTTTCAATGGTGATGTAAATATTTTACTTTTGTACTTTGTACATATTTTTACCTATTGACTAAATGATCGAAATTTTATCAAATAAATGCAGCCTTCTTTCAAAAACGTTAAAGTATTATTATTTTTTTATATTAAACTAATAAAGAATATTACTGTATATTGTAAAACTTCAAATATATTGTCTTTTTAAAATATAGCCTAATGTTTATTTTATTCATTTATATTACAGTACAAATGGTCCCTTTCTTATATTTTCAGTTTTTTTTTTTTTTTTTTTTGCGAATCATCAGAAATATTGTGAATCATCTCAAAGCTGTCTGGTTTGGTTCATAGCTTAGTTTATAAAAAATGTTTTAATCCCTATAGAGACAATAAAAGGAAAAAATACAGAGGGTGCTCCATTTGCATTGATGTGGACTGCTGGTGTACTCCGTCAATGTTAGCCTGATGCCTGAGGTGTCTTTTCATGAGAAATGTGAACTTGCTTGAAAAACTGACTCATTGTGTTATTTTCCTGTAACGGAAGCAACAGAAGTAATGGTGTATCATTTAAAACTGCTGAATGCCTGGAGAAACATGCGCCACTTTAAGCATCTTCTTATATCTTTACATTCGTAAGCAGAATGTGGTGGTCTCATTTTAGTCCGCAGTATTCCCCATGCCTGTCCATCTGTACGAATGTGTTTTGGAGACAAAACATTCTGTTCGAGAGGGCAAACGTCTCAAAGCATTCCCAAAATAGATGTTAAGCATATATACACCCTTCCCGAACTGTACGTTTTCACAGTCTTATTTCAGGAACAAAGTGTCATGCAGGTACAGGCACATGCATGAGTTATGTAAGATAGATACGTGAGTGTTTATTTAAAAAAAATAATATCACAGGAAGATGATGTTCCTGCAGGTACGGTGACTGTGCAGGTGTGTCATTTCGGGAAGCTCATGTTCCATCGGGTCTCAGAGCAGCAGAGAGATTGATGGGGTTTCCACTCACAACCGGCAGCAGTGACGTTTAGAGTAAGGTCTCTGTCCGAACACCGAGTGCTGTGCTGACCTAATTCTTCCCACACTGAATCTGTGGCTGGGTGTTAAAAGTCACGCTTGGTTTTAAAGTATCTGTGCTGACTGTAACTGACTCTGTGTCATTCCACTTTAATTTACTGTAAATTCATGTTTATTTCCGGCTGTTCCAAGGCAGCATACTTCCTTCTGGCTGCAATTTATAATGCACCTGTCAGTTTGAGTATTTTGATTCTTGAGTCTGTAGATGTAAGAGAAGAAATAATTCCGAAAAGTACTTTGGGGGGGGTGGGTGTCATGGTATTAGATATTGTTACTGGAAAATGATATAAATACTATATGTGAAAATGATTTTTGTATATCCAAACGTAATCAAATAGTACTTCATACTAGGGCTGTGCGATTTGGGGGAAAATATCAAATTGCGATTTTTTTGACAGATATTGCGATTGCGATTTAAAATTTGCAAAGTCAAGCTTCAGCTCAATATTGCCAATAATGTGTAGCACAGTATGGGTATCATTACCCTGCTGAAAAAAACAATAGAAACTATCACAGAAATTCGTATAGTTTCCATTAAACCATTACAAAATTCCTTTTTGTTTTGGGCATTATTCCAATAGGAATTACTGTTGTTCTATTGGTTGCCATCTGCCAGATTACATCCCACCAAGAGGATCCATCAAATAGACACCATTATAGATTACATTAAAACCAAACAAATTCCCATTATAATGCTGAAATCCATTAAATTTGTTATTGTGTTTTGGGAGGGGTTCTATTGTTTAGCCAACATGCATTATAAACTTATTTCAAATTAATCTGTTGGGGAGATAAAATGTGTAAGATAACGTTCACGTATTAACAAAAACATCTAGGAATGTATCGTTTATCCTCCAGTACTGAAAACAGAACAGATAAGGGAGCTTTTGATATGGGCTGTGAAGCTCTTGCAAATTACCTTTTTTACTCGTTGTCTGTCATTTCGAAGCTTAAGTTGCATACGGTTTTCTTTAGTTTTAATTTGCCTAACTATCGATCTGACCCAGTAGACGCCATAATCCCACTCTGTCTCTCTCCTGCTTTCTGTTTTTTATTTTTCTAATAGTGGGTGTTTACGCAGTTGGCTAGAGCAGTGCTGATTGGGGAGAACGGAGGTGCACTCACTCTATTGGTTAGTAAGACTGCAACTCAAGGCTGGAACAGAGTTATATCGCGTCCATATCGCAGGCTTTGCGATTAGGAAATCGCAACGTCTCAAATCGCGATTTCGATTCGATTTCGATTAATCGCACAGCCCTACTTCATACACTACTGTTCAAATGTTTGGTGTTGGTAATATTTATAATGTTTTTGAAAGAAGTCTTTAATGCTTAACAGGACATCATTTATTTGATCAAAAATACAGTCAAAACAGTAATATTGTGAAATATCATAACAATGTAGAATAACTGTTTTCTATTTCAAAATGTAATTCATTCCTGTTATGACAAAGCTGAATTTTCAGCATCATTACTCCAGTCTTCAGTGTCACATGATCCTTCAGAAATCATTCTAATACGCAAATTTTCTGCTCAGAAAAATTCTTATCAATGTCAAAAACAGTTGTGCTGCTTACATTTTTGTGGAAACTGTGATGCACTTTTAAGGATTCTTTGATTAACAGATATTTAAAAAGAGCAGTTTGTATTTGATATATAAACATTTTTTAACATTGTAAATGTCTTTACTCTAATTTTTATGTAATTAATGCATTCTTGCTAAATAAAAGTATTAATTTGCTTAAAAATCTTACTGACCCCAGACTTTTAAACGATAGTGTATACCATGATACTGTATGATTTCTGTATTTATGTACCAAAGTATTTTGAGCATTTAGCTCAAACGGTGAATGTTTGAGAGTTAGTGGGAATACAGCGAATTGGATTTCCCAAAGTATATTGGACCCGCCTCCCTGAGTTTCTCATTGGTCAAGAGTGTAGGTGCTGATATTGCACTTCAAGGCAGGGCCGACGATAAGGGGTAACAAATGGACTTTTTCGATTACACCTTTCTCCAAGATACCAATTATGGTAGTTTTTTTTAGTTACACCTCGTTCTTTCTGAACGTTACATTCATTCAATTTATATTCACCTAAATAAACCTGAATCCATCGTAAATGTTCCGCCAGCTTCATCCCCTCGTTTGTTTTAAGCGGTTATGCACATTTTTGTGAATTCACTGAACCATATTTCATAAATTACCCCTCTGGTGACAGGAATGGCAGCTATTGTCAGATTACCATGGCAACATGTCTTGCTTATTGTTCCAGGTGTATTGCATTATTTATTGGTCGTGCTTATTTTCATGAGCATCATGCTTGATGGAGCTGAATTGAACTCTGACAGTTCTGGTAACCGCTTTAGTTTTATTAAATGAAAAGGAAAAGTAAGAGTGATCTGATTTCAGTCTTGTTTGCTTTTTATATTCCCACCAACACATAATGTTTGCCAGCACTTTTAAATAGAAACGGCACAGTCAGGTAGATATTATTGGTTCTTGTGCTAAAAATATCTTTAATAATTTCAACGTCAGGCATGATTGCAGACATTTCCAATAAGGCAGAATTTTCTGCATAATAGCACACTGTTAACTGATTATTGGTAGATAGATTAGAAAAAAATTCTGGTAAAAAAAATTAAGTTGTTTTAATTTGCAGGAAATAGGACCTAATTTAGGCTCAGTGTTTGTTTCAAAATTCATTTTCTGGCTTTGGCTCACTGGATACTGTAATAGGTTTTTATGTTCAATGTGCAAACAGATTTAACTTTAATTGACATGCTTTGTTAGGTCTAATGACTGCAGTGTCAGCATTTATGATGACCTCGGTGTATAAAGTATGTGTGATTCTCCTTGATGTTCAATGACAGGATAATGCAAGCTAATCTCCTCTTCTATTATTTTCTCCCCTCAGGACCCTGCGGGCATATTTGAGCTGGTGGAGCTTGTGGGAAATGGGACCTACGGACAAGTATATAAGGTAAATAATGGTGTCCGATAAGTCAAATGTATGATTGGGTAGGTCTATCCAGTTCAGTCTCAGAAACATGTTTTGCATTTCCCTCAGCAGTTTGCTTCAAATTTTCCCCTCTTCCTCCCTGAAAGATCTGCACTTACCTGTTAGTTTCTTAGCAGCTCTTGCGTTATACGTGTGGTATGTTCAGACGTGTCAAGACTCATGTGTGTGTCTTCCGAAACCTGCTCAAAAACTAGTGGGTGTGAGTCAGATGTTTCAGTTGAAAAAATACTTTTTGGACAGGGTGATTTGTTTGTAAGGCTTAGGTTTGCAAACAGCATTCAGGAAAATATAAGGTTTAAGTTGCTGATGGTGATTATGATACGTTTTGTACAGTTTGAGATGGTCTAAACAGGTTGGCATGTTTGAACTTTTTTGGTTTGGCGTTTTTCTTTGAAGGTGAAGATGAGAAGACTCTGGTCTTCATTCACAGCGGTCAGACGCTAATTTTGGGTATGATTGATGCATGCTGAGAGGAGAATACTATTGATCTTTTTATTTTATTTTTTAAATGAAGAGATCACCAATCAAAGTGTCAGATTTAACGCTTGGAGACTGAAGTCACGAGAGGTGATGTATAGGAGCAGTTAAGCAGTCTGTCAATCTGAACCACTGTCATTATGCAATACTTTTAAAGGATTAGTTCACCCAAAAAAATTTAAATCCTGTCATTTACTGCCATTTACTCATCCTCATGTCATTCCGAACCCATTTGACTATATTTTCTTCTGTGAGAAACAAGAAGAATTGGTAGAATATTTATACCGCTATTTTCTGTACAATAAAAAAAAAAACTGATTAAAATGACAAATAAGCGCTGTAAAACTAGTCCATACAACTTGTATGCTATATTTCAAATCACCATATATGTCATAAGTCATATGATAGCTAACAGACAGAAATTCAAGTTGATAAGATTTTTTTTAAATGACTTTTTCCCATTTTAATATAATTTGTATTCTTTTGATGGCAAAGCTGAATTTTATCAGCCATTACTCCAGTTTTCAGGGTCATATGATCCTTCAGAAATCATTCTAATATGCTGATTGTCTTATAATTTTTTTCAGGGTTTTTTTTTTATCAAGAGGAAGATCAAAAGTACAGCTTTTAATTGCTTTTTTGTCGATTTTAATAAATTTAATGCATCCTTGCTGAATGAAATGATTAATTTCTTGGAAAAAAAAAGAGAAAGAGAATCTTACTAACCCCAAAATTTATAGCAGAATATTCTACCCAACAACTCCTATTGTGTTCCACTAAAGTCATGTAGGTATGGGATTATATGAGAATGATATTTCAATTCTGGATGAACTAACCTTTTAACATTTGAGTAAGAATGTATTGTACATACATACAGAATTATTAGACAAATTAAGAAGTGAAAGAGGATGTGGTTATGATTGTCGCTTTAAAGTCCTCGGAGAAAAGCCGCAGTTTGCAGAAGTTTTTGGGCTTGACATTGAGCTCTCTGTCCAGGTGCAGTCAGTATACTGAGAAAACCAGTAGGAGGTGTGATTTTGAGGTGTTGCCCACTTGTGAAGGTGTATGGAGGGGTCATATTCTATCAGGTGCTAGATTTTGTTTCCCTCAGTCTCACAAGATGAGAATGTTGTGATAGATTTTATATCCTTTTTATGGAAAATGATGCATCACAGCAAAAGATGAACTCTTCTAATCAAACGGGCACCCTTCGTGTATAGTTAGCATGTGTTAATGAGAGTGAAAGAGAAACGGCGTGAAGAAGGGATAAAAATGAAAAATCATGTGCGACAGTGGAATTAGCTAATTTGTCAACTGAATCGGGGCATAACTGTACTGTCATTTCTTATTAATTGAAGATTTATTACCAAGAATTCCTCTGCTCATAACCATGTTTTCTGAGTCAATCTCTTGAGTTGTTACAGGATCTTGGTGTTCTTCAACAGGTTTTGTGACATGTATGTTAGCTTAAAGTCCATTTATATGCTATTGTACTCCTAAACATTGATACTTTCAGATGACAGAGCTGGGCAGTAACTGATTTCATGTAATCTGGATTACGTAATCAGATTCCAAAAAATCAAGTACTCATAATTTGAGTATATTACATTTTTAAAGGGGTCATATGATGTTGCAAAAAATAACATTATTTGGTGTAATGAAATGTGTTTATGCGGTTTAAGGTAAAAAACAACAACATTATTTTCCACATACTGTACATTATTTTTTCTCCTCTATGCCCCGCCTTTCTGAAATGCATCGATTTTTACAAAACTCATCGGTCTGAAAAGCGAGGTGTGCTGTGATTGGCCAGCTATCCAGTGCGTTGTGATTGGCTGAATACCTCAAGCATGTGATGGAAATGTTACACCCCTTACCATATGCCGTGTCCCGGCCGGAGCGACGAGACAAAAACATTAAAAGCCGTTATAAACGAGGCATTTGTTGCATCCAGTGCAGGGCTCCAGACTAACATTTGAGAGCAGTGGCACCAGCGCCACTAAGTTCTACAGATGGTGACTGGGGGTGGCGTGCGGGAGTATTAAAATATAGATCATTTAATCATAAAATTACTATTGTTTTGCATTAATAAGTGCAGTTACTAATAATATTACATGTTCATTTCTTGTTTATTTTTCTTTCTTTGTTTATTGTTTATACAGATTTGACAGTAAAGCACTTTACAAAATAAGAGTAAGAGTTTTGTATGCATACAAAATTTATTTTTATTAACAACAGTAACCGGTGCAAAATCTAATTTTTATATAGAAAATGTATATATTCCACTCTTATTAAATGTACCATTATTCTTCTTGTATATGGAACGACCAACTTCAGTGATTGTGTGATTTAGTAGCAAATTGAAGAAAAGTTTGTTTTTCAAGGCACTTTGTGACTTTTCTTACTTACACAAAGTGTAAAATTCTGACAAAATCTGATTTCTTGATGATTCGATATTTTATAATAGTGATTTTATAATTTCAAAATATAGAGAAAAAGTAGAAATGAATGACTAATAAGCCAATAAGTGCTCCTCTGCTGCTGTCTACTGGTTATAATTGTGATTTGATGTATTATTAAAGTTTTTGTTTACAACAAAATATATTTTGGTCATCCCATTAAAAATAACATTCAAACTGGATAATTTTAGAGCTTTAAAGTGCTGGAAATAGTTGTGCGAAATGCTTGATAGTCATTGAAAAGTGCTTGAAATTCTTTCAAAAGGTTGTACAAACCCTGTAATGAATGATGTAATGGATTTGAATATTTCTACCACAACACCATGGTTACAGTTAGCGTTACCACTACTGGTTTTCTGACTTATGTCAGCGCTGTTTATAACAGAGAATTATGTGCAGAATTTGAAGTCGAAGTTGATGTATTTCCTCAGCGACCAGCACCAGAACACCAGAAGCAGTGTCTGATTCATTAACGAACTGATTATTTTCAATGAACCCGTTAAATCGGTTCGCAAAACGCACCAAACGATTCATTCACGAATTGGAATGATCCGACTGCAGCTGTTCTCGAGTTGACAACTCACTGATTCAAATGATCCTTTTAGTTTGAGTCTCCAGTGAACTGATTTCACAAGTAAGAACCGGGAGATCTTGTGAGCGCGCGCGTCTGATGCTGTTAAAAGTAAGTTACTAATGTCGAATTTTAGGATTAATTATTGTAACTGAAAATCATATTTAGGTCAAAGCTGTCAGTTGTTTGTGATTTAAATCTGCTGCAAAGGGTGATCTGTTTAAGCCCACTGAAATGCTTGAATGCAGACACATTAACATCAGAGTGTCTCTGTTTTAGGTCAAAAAACATTAAAATAACACAGATAAAATAAAATAACTCATGCACGTTCATCTTCCCCGCTGCTGTAACGTTAGCAGTTTTACTAAAATACTATGCATTTAGCCCTATGTGACATCTGTTTTTATATTGTTTGTCAGCACACATAGCCTAAGATACTATGTACCTGGATCAACTAGCCGAGTAGACAAATATAAATGTTTATTCATAACCATGCTGAAAATAAGTCAATAATGTTAGCTGATGCTAACTGTCTAGCTAACGAGCTTGCTGGTGCTAAATTGAGGCAATTTTTAAAAAACTAAAGTCCAAATATTTTTATTCAACCACCTAGATAGATTACATCTGAGAGAAAAAGAAAGGATGTGATGTTTAGAACATGGTAGGCCTAACTACAGTAATTATCAAAGTGGGAAGTGATGCCCACTGGGGGCATTTGACCAGGGGTGTTTTTACACCACAGACACGGTTTGAGAAGAAAAAAATCATTATGAAAATCGAATTATATTTTCCTTATTATATGAAAATCCCAGGTATTTTGAGCAGTAGGATTATAAAAAATATATATGCTAATATAAAATTAAATGATAAAAGTAGCCTATATAAAACTGCATCTGCAAATAAACATTCATCTATCTGTACTTTTTACTTAAGTACATAAAAAAATCAAGTACTTTTGTACTTTCACTCGAGTAAAATTGAAAACTGAGTACTTTTACTTTTACTGGAGTAATATTTTATTATACGGATCTGTACTTTTACTCAAGTATTTGATTTGTGTACTTCGTCCACCACTGGAAATGATTAGTCGACATTTACAATAAAAAAATGTAGACATTTTTGTTGTTGAATAGTCTTTTGAACTCATATGATCTATTGTAAGAGCCTGCAATAATGCAATTTGACCAGTGTGGCGCTGTAGCGCAGGACTATAATTCAGCTTTCCCGGATGAAATTCAAGAGAAGACACACAGCACAGCTGAACTAGACGCTGCTGAGAGCAGAGTTTAGATGAATATGGAAATATGTTGCGTGCTTTCCTCTCAATAACGAAATAAACTGCAAAAAATGACAGCGGTGAGAAAACAGCAATTAAGAAAGCATCTGATCTTCATATAACTCTTTATACAGTAGATTGATTTAAAGGGGACTTAACACACACAATTTTACTCAAT